CCTTAAATGCCTACCATGTGTGAAGTACTCCCAATTTATCTCTAATATTCCTTTTTGATAAATCCAGTGGTTAATCCTTGGTCCTAATTTTATTGGATGTATCAGCAGAATTTTACCTGGTCACTTTTCCCCTTGAAACATGTTCTTCATTTGCCCTGCAAGACGCCCACACACTTGACTTTTTTCTGACTTCAATGGTTTCTCCTGCATTTCTTTTGCTTTATCCTCCTCTTCCTCAGCCTTCATGTTGAAGTACCCAGGCTCAGTCCTTGGTCCTCTTCTCTGTCTACATCTTTGCTTTGGTAATTTCATTCTGTTTCAGAGTTTTAAATACTACTTCTGTACTGGTAACTCCCAAATGTCTATCTCAGATCAGTCCTCTCTCCCAAACTGCATACTCATACATCTAAATGCCCACGAGACCTGTCTGATCATCTAATGGGCACCGAGATTCGTCATATATGACACAACTCCCAATCTTGCTTTCAAACTTAATAGAAATTTTCTCCATCCTTCCAGTTACGTAAGCAAAAACTCTGGAGTCATTCTTGAATTCTTTCCCTCATACCCTTCATTTCTCTTGTCAGGAAATCTCGTATTTTCAAAATATATCTAGACTCTGACACTCTTCTCTCTTCTACCTCAGCCATCCCGGCCAGAGTCAGCAATGTCTGGCCTGGATCATTGCAATAGCCTCTGAACTGATCTTTGTGTTTCCATCCTTGCCCTGGTAGAGCCTATTCTTAATACAGCAGCCAAAGTGATCTCTTTAAAATATAAATCAGATCACGTCACTTGTCTGCCAAAAACCCTCCAATGGCTTCTTGGTTTCCTGACAGCAAAAGTCAAAGTCCTTGCAATGGCCTGCAGTGCCCTGTAGGATCTGTCCTTCCCCGATACCTCGGCAACCTCCGCCACTGTCTACCTCACTCACTCATTCCCTTTCAGCCACTGGCCTTTGTGCTTTTCCCCAGCAAGCTGGGAAAAGATCTTGGGATCTTTGTTTAAGCTTTTTCTCTGGCTGGACTATTCTCCCCCCAGACACCCACTTGGCTAACCCCCTTACCTCCTTCAAGTCTTTGTTCACATGTTACCTTCCTGGTGAGGTCTATCCTGACCACCCTATTTAATCCTATAACCACCTCACCACCTAGGCCTGATCCTTCTGACCCTACTCTGTTTTTTTTTTTTTAATTTCCATACCACTCACCAATCTCTAACACACTATATAAGTTCCTTATATATTATAATTTATACATGTTAGACTGCAAACTCCATAAGGGAGAGCATCTTTGTCTTGTCCGCTGATGCACCCTGAGTGCCTTAAATAGGTTAAGCATATAGTAGGTGCTCAATAAACATTTTCTAAGTTAATGAATGAACAAATAAATAAATTGATAATGTATGTCCAAGTCAATACTGAGTCCTAATTTTCATAATTACACCTAGAAACATTTCTAGCACCCATTCCTTCTGCTCCATGCCTGTTCCTATCCTCATGATACTTTTCCTACCTCACAACTGAGGTTTTGAAACTCAGCACTTGTCATTCATCTGGTTTGCACCCAGTACACCAGTCCCTCTACAGCATTGCTCATATCACTGCCACATCCATGGTGGGATGCTTGGACTCTTTAGAGCTCTCAGATCCCCTCCCTCAGTCTACTTGTATTGCCGTCTCTCACTACTCTTTTTCCTTCGTGAACCTCTCCTTCTTCCTCACTATCTTCCAACCCTGACTACATACTATAACCTCCATGCCTTTGCTCACAATGCATGTCCCTACCCTCGGTCCCCTCACCATCTCTAACCTAGCTTACTTCCCCTATTACCTACAAAGGCTTTCCTGACCCTCCGGTTCATAAGGATCTTTCCATTTCACACATTCACAGTGCTTACAGTACAGACGGCCCCCCCGCCCCCGTTCAGCTGACACAATCCTATATCACCCGATGGCAGCTATTGGAGTTATTTTTTTTAACTGCACTTTTATGTAATGCATGGGTTATTATGTAAAATTTTTGCAGATTAGTCTGGCTGGAGGGAGAGATTTCATTTTCAATTGTGAGACTGACTGATCTATCTTCTCTTTCCACTTATATGATAGGTTCCCTGAAAATGAATCACTTTCCTTAAGCTTCCTTATATTTTCCACAGCCTCGAACACAGTGCTGGGCACCCAGGAGGTGGGTAGTGTTTGCAGTGCAGTTGGATGATACAGAATCCACATAGGGAGGAGGCCACGAATGCTAAGGCATTTTGCTGGAGCGTAATGACCAAAGGAATAAAACGTGCGTGGGATAAACCAAGATTAAAAACCAAAAACTGTGTAAGGAAGTCATCTTCTAGTTCGTTTCTTTTCATTAACTGTCATTAAGGTGGTTGATAATTTGAAAATGCGAAGCAGTAATTGATCTCAGTTCTCTTACTATGATTTATAATCATGTTGTTTTGTATGAGTATTTTTTCATTTTAAAAGAAGAAAGACGTCTAGCTCTTCAGTGCAGAAGAGGTCCTGAAGCCTTCAGTCCAACCATTTTCTATTGTAGTGAAATGGCCAAAAGTCACGGCATAGTCAAGGACCCCTAGTCTACTCTGCATGGCCTGGGCTCGGGAAAGGTGCCTTCACCAGGTGACAGTCAGAGATGCAAATGTGGGCACAGACCCTGGGTGTCAGTGTTAGCACTTTGCTCCTCGATGTCCTCCCTACTCTCTCCATTTATTCGCTTAGCAGATGCCATTGCCAGCTCTGGCCAGGGCTGGCCGTCAACATATGTAATCTCATGTGCCTTCACCACAGCCCTCAAAGATGGATATCATGAATGTTCTCATTTTGCAAGTGAAGACCTTGCTCAGAGAGTTAAGTAACTTGGCCAAGCTGTAGTTAGCAAATTGTAGATCTGAGATTTGGACTTAGCAGGGCATTGACACCAAAGTCCTGATTCTTTCCACTTCGTCAACCCGCTTCCCAGGTGCTCAGGATATACTTGATAGAGGCACAAGTGAATGAATGACCCAAAATTTGCAGCTTTGACAAACACCATTTAACCACCATAGACAATGCAGAAGACTAAAGCAATGACACTAATGTTTTGTTAAAGAGATACTGAAATACAAGTGTTGACATGGCCTAAGTGTTTGCATGAAACTTTCTGGAAGAGAGATCTGAGCTTTCTTTGCCAAGGCTTTGAAACAGGGCTCCAACCCCTTTCTTCTTCCTGAGATATGTAATCTAGTTATCTTGTTAAACCTTCAAGTCTTTTTCTACTTAAGTACTACACAGGGACCCAAAGATCTGGGAGGCCATGACAGTTATCTCTGCATTTTCTCCCCTCTGCAGGGCTGGGCAGCCACAGTGAAAAATGAAAGTACCCACAGACTACAATCTGCTAACCACCTCGAATGTACTAATCTTGTCAAGACTTACAGCCCTGAGTGTGCAAATCAGGACAGACAGAAATATGATGACCCAAGACTAATGACATAAAATTCAGCCCTTAAAATAGGAAAGACCAAGTTTTGAGAGGGCAGGCAGCTTGGAGCTTGCATCTCTCCCAGCTATCAAAGAGTTTTGTAATAATTACTAGATTCTGTCCCTGACCCGGGAAACTTTAGCCAAAAAGCTCTGTCATCCAGCCTGCATGTGTCTGTCTTTATAGTCCCAGCCACCGCTCTGTGTCACACAGAGGCTAGTGAAACTGTTCCCTGGATTACTAGTCTGCAAAAGAGATTGCCCCCACAACCTCTTACATAATAAAGTAATGAGGCAATAATCCCTGAATTCCCCAAATGTACGAGTTATCAAAATCTCAATGTAAAAGTAAAAAAAAGAATTAAAAATCTTATGAATGCAGTATCTTAAGTATTTCCTTGGTTATCTCAATTAATGTAGTTCTAATTTGACACTCCTATGTATTTGAGAAAGCCATTTCAAAGGACCCATTAGCTGAGAGATCCGAGTGGAGGGAGAGGCCAAGAAGCCGTCACTGTTAATTCTTACTACTCTCAGATCTTTTAATTGGGGGTTCCTGCATGTTGACAGGCACGGAAGGTCTGACCACAAAAGCTTTCCCTCGAGAAAGTTATCTCAGTGCTGACACTATTCATGGACACATGCAACTAGCATCAAGGATTTCTGTTCAATGACAGGCCCCCTCTCCCATGTTGCCACTTACAGAAGCACCGATGGCATGTTTGTCCCTTTGCTCAGCCCGAGTGGGGAGCCACAGAGAGGACTCCTGGCCCTAGTCCCAGCTGTGCGCAGGGTACTTTGCTTTCACGGTCAAAAGAGCAGAAAGCTGTCCTCTGCTCTCCCCTTCCTCAAAGCTGTTCCTGACCCGCCTCTCCTAAATTAGACTGAGCAAGAAAAGGCCACAGCATTCACACCAGGCCACAGCACAGAGCCGCATTCTCAGTTAGCAAACCTGTTTCCCTTGTCAGGAGGAAAAGTGTCTCCAACAGCAGGGGATAAAAACCAGAAAATGCAAGGGAGGGAACATTCCAGGGTGAAATATATTAAAAAAAAAAAAAAAAGGAAGAAAAAGGAAAAAAAGAAGAAGAAAAACAAAAGAAAATGCACAAATTCCATGAGGGCATCTGGTTAGCCAGGGGTTAGAATCAGGTTTAAAGAATCACACGTAACTCAGTGTCTTGGCAAATCCAAAAACCCCAGGGCGAAAGGCATGTGGGTAAAAGGCATTTCTACTTGGGGAAACGGGAAGTTTCCTTCTTTTCCCATTTATTCTCTCTCTTATTTATTTACTTTTTAGTCCCACCAACCCACAGTCCAACCCAAATTTGGACCATCGATCATTTTACTTGACCAGCATTTTTATCTTTCCAGAGTCAAAGGGATCCAAAGATCCCTCTCCCACAGCCAATTCCAGTGAGCCCCTCTCTCCCAGGGTTACGGGGTGCTCAGAGCGACATTCTCAGTGGGACATGCCACACACAGCAAGTCACTACACCAGACTGCTCTAGAAGGCTTCCAGGGAACTTACTTGTACTTGTGCTGGTTCCAATTGTATTGATTGTGGTGGGGACAGATGAGGAGGAGTAGAGGGGCACGTGGCCGTTCTCACACCCCAGGCTTTTGTCCTGCCAGTTGGAGGCGTTGATGCAAATCCCAGAATCCCGAGAGTTCTGCCACCCATTGAGCTTGTCATCGGAGTTCTGTCTTTGGTGATAGTAGTGCGCCTGCCCATAATCCACAGAGTCTGAGCGGCTTCGGTTCTGGCCGCCAAAGCTGGTCGACGTGCGGTCCTCCAAGTGGTTCAGCCACATGGCTAACGCGCTGCGATCTTCCAGCGAAGTGGCCGGATGTATCAAAGCATAGGACAGTAGCTGCCTGCTCTCCTCAATGTGCTGGTTGTGTTCAATAGAGTGAGCCAGGATTTTGGGCAGCAGTTTCATATACTCTACTTTTGCATCAAGGTTTCCTGGCTTCAGCAAAGGCAGATGAGTTAACAGGAGGGAAATCACTTTATCCTTGGATTCCTGTTGCCATTGGTTAATGATTCCTGGAAAGGAAAATATACAGGGCAAATAAGCAAATACACCCACAATGGCATGAAACACCACACTGTAAAGAAATTCCTATGGGTTAAGTCTCCATCTAGGTATCCTGGCTAAATTTTTCTCAAAACAGCCTGTGCATCGGGTCGGATAACGGACTCCAGGTTGTCAGGGGGCAGTGACATAAATGAAACACAGAACAAATGTTCTTGGATGTGTGGGTGCTCAATCTAATTCCCATTCAGGTCTCCAAAGAGCCTACAATTACTTTGGTACAACCAAATAGAATTTACAGCCCTGTGTTTGTTCTTAGAAAAGTCTAGCCACACCTTCAGATAGACAGGGATAAGGACTGAGAAAATCTCCAGAGAGAAGCAAGTGTTGTCAAAGGTTCATTGGATCCTTGTGGATAAGCCTGCTTTCCCTCCTGCAGACATCTGTGGAAAAGTGGGTTACACTCTAGCAAAGGCATTTGTGTGAAGATGGTAAAGCTTCCTAGATAGAGAAATCGGTTAGGAAAAGAAAAGGACTTCCCTCATCTCGGTGAAGTAAGCCTGCCCTTCTCATGAGAAGCTGCCTCTGAAAACTACTGTGACCCCAAAGCTAGATCTCAAAGCTAGACTTAGCATGAGTGGCACCTCCGATCACACATGATAAGCAAGCTATTTTTCTTTAAGCAGAGAAGATCTGTTTAGTTATCTTTATGATGGTAAAGTCTGGATAACATAATATTTACCATTTTCACCATTTTTAAATGTAGGGTTGTGTGGCAATGAGGCATTCACAATGTTGTGCAGCCATCCCCACCATCCATTTCCAGATCTTTTTCATCTTTTCAGACTGAAACTCTGTGCCCATTGAAAAATAACTCCCTATTTCTTTCCTCCCCCAGCTCCTAGCCACCACCATTGTATTTTCTGTCACTATCTATTTGACTACTCTAGTTACCTCATATAAGTGGGAACATACAGTATTTGGCCTTTTGTGACTGGTGACTTCATTCATGAGAAGATCCATTTGTGACACCTTCTTGTCCCCTTCTACTCAGAACACACACTGACTGCCTTTAGGTAAACATGGATAAGCAATGTACTTTGCCTTCGACTGGCCTTTGAGAAGTAGCTTGTTCTGGAAACTGGAAGTTATCCTCAGAACCTGGGGCCACAAGAAAGAAAGCTCCCTTCCTGAAAAGTCACTCCTGATACCCAAAGACATTGTCCCTGGCCTACTGATTACCCTACATAGGCTAAGGCAGGGCAGTCTTACCGGCTTTCATGAAGTATCTGCTGAGTTGAAAAGGGGTCTCTGGAATTTAGCAGACAGGCTTTACAATTCTAGCAAGGCACACACATATCAGAACAAGCTCAAGAGTCATTGTTGACCAGAAGCTACAAATGCACCAGCCAAATACTACAAGGCCCGTCAAGACCAAAGAAAAGTATCAGGCAAGGAAGGCATGGGATAGAATGAAAGACTGTGGGCTCTGGAATCAGGCAAACCTGGGCATGGATCCCAGATCTGCCACTTAATTTGCAGTGGGACCTCGGTAAGTTACTTCGCCTGTAGGAGCCTCAACTGCCTCATCAGTTAAGACTGTTACCAACAGCATCTGTCCCTCCTTGCGTGGAAATGTATCAAAAGGACTGGCCAAGTACTCAATGGTGGAAATAATGCCTTCTACTTGTCTCTGCATTAGTTGGGCCCCACATTAGAGCCATGTTGGTTGGTTTCAGATACCGAGTTTTAAAAATAATTATGGAGTCTAGGGGCACCTGGGTGGCTCAGATGGTTAAGTGTCTGCCTTCCGCTCAGGTCAGGATGCCAGGGTCCTGGGATCGAGCCCCGCATTGGGCTCCCTGCTCAGCGGGGGGCCTGCTTCTCCCCTTCCCTCTACTTCTCCCCCTGCTCATATTCTCTCTCTCTCTCTGTATGTCTGTATCTCGAATGAATAAATTAAAAAAAAAAAACTTAAAAAAAAATAATTATGGAGTCTAAAGACCCAGGGAAGGCCATTAAAAAATATCAGAGTTGGAAGAGGCAGAAAGTCAAAGGGTGAAAGAAAATAGGGCTATTGAGCTTATAAATTAACAACATAAAGAGATGCTCAATGTGGGGATTTCATAAGAAGACAAAGAGTCAACGATTTGAAGTACAAGTCTTCACATTGAAGCAGCAGAGATTAAGACTGGATGTGGAGAAGAAATGAAGTGCCAGGATGACAAAAGACCCAGAGGAGTCTCCAAGGAAGGCTTTATAATCTCTGTCCTGGGGGCCTGAAGAATGGAGATAGATGGGTCTAGGGAAGCACTGTTGGGTAGAATGTAATGTGAGCCACATACGGTATTTAAAATTTTCTAGTATTAAAAGAAAAGTGAAGAGAGGGAGGTGAAATTAATTTCAATGATCTATTTTCTTTAATCCAATATATCAAAACATTATTATCTCAACTTGTAACCAATATAAATCATCAACGAAACATTTTACATTCTTTTCTTTGCACCAAGTCTTCGACATCCAGGGTGTATATTACCACTGACTTCACATCTCCAACTGGGACTAGCCGCAGCTGAAGTGCTGGGGAGCCACGCGGGGCTGGAGCCTGCAGAACTGGCTAGCCATGGGGCTGGAGACACTCACATGGGGAAAGCGGATGGCAGGAGGGCACCCATGACCTCAGCAGGTCCCTCCCGGCTCCCTGACTCTATATTTAGCTAACTGCCTCCTGACAAAAGATAACCCTGGTGCATTCCATTAGGTATGGCCTCCCTTTTAAAGTAGCTTTGGGAGATGGAGGAAGCACCAGTTTCAAGTTGCCATCAATACATTTTCAGGAAACACCCAGCATGTTTTTAATTATGAATACACTTCAGATAAAGAGAAAATCTATTCATTACGCCCAAGGAACTAAAGAGGCACTGGCAAGAAGCAAAAGGTCCCGAGAGGAAGATATATCTCTGTCTGATGCCAGTCCGATGAGCAGATGTAGCTAGCGCGTACCTGGAAAATGTATGCTTAGAAATAAATTTCAGGAACAAGTTTTAATAAAAATTCACGGGGTTGAGGAACTCCCTAGCTTTCTGCGAGGTCACTTCCCTGTTTGGGTATTCTACCCTTCTGCAAAAGGTCAGCCTAAAAAAAAAAAAGGAACAAAAACAAAACATAAATAGGACTCGGAGTGCAAACTAACCATGTTATCTCCATGTAAGCACTCTCTGCCAGGGATTAGCAGCAAAGAGGAGAGGAAAACAAGGGCCCTGGCCCTGGTCCTTCCCAGGCCTGAAATGGGTCTTTCTCTATCCTTGGGACAGGGCTTGGATGGTGTGGGATTGGGGTGTGGCCAGGAAGACAACGATGACTTTTGTTTACTACCATCGGGAACCCGGACATGAGGCTGGCTGCCTCCTGAAGGCAGTCTTCTGAGGTGTACTACTGGATCGAACTATTCCTGCAGCAGCTACCACTGCCACGCGGACAGCTAATGGCATTGAATGTGGTTTATGTGCCAGGCACTCTTGTAAGCTCTGTGCATGTAATTACTCATTTAATCCTCCTAAGAAATAGATGAGGTAGGTCCTATTACAGCCTTATTTTACAGATGAGGACAGAGAGGCACAGAGAGGTCAAGCCATTTGCCTCCGGTCCCCCTGGCTAGGGAGGTGGCAGAATTCGGGTATGCAAATTAGCATAAAGATACATAATGATTATCAAGCTAGAGAGTTTGGCCATAAGTTAAATACATTAATGTTTATAATATGTGATTCTATAATACATAAGATATATAATATAGGACTACATATAAAATGTGTATATGTGTATTATATTTACAAATATAGTAATATGAATATATTTAAATAGAGTGCATGGATCAGCAGAAGCCTTCCCAGCTATGGAAGTGCAGGAAGAAGAGTAGTTACAGAGGTGATACCTACTATGGTTTTAAAATATGTCCACAACTTCTTTGATATTCCTCTCTAAAAGATGGAGCCTAATTAATTCCTTTCCCATACAGCACAGGGTTAGACTTAGTGAGTCACTTCTAGCAAAAACTGAACATAGCAGAAGTGGCAGTGTGTGAGTTCATGGATTAGGTTATAAAAGGCACTGAAGGGGCACCTGGGTGGCTCAGTCACTTAAGTGTCCGACTCTTGATTTCGGCTCAGGTCATGATCTCAGGGTCATGGGATCAAGCTCAGGTTGGGCTCTGTGCCGAGCTTGGAGTCTGCTTGTCCCTCTCCCTCTGCTCCTCCCCCCGCTCACGCTTGCTTTCTCTCTCTCTCAAATAAATAGATTAATTAAAAAAATAAATAAGAGGCACTGAAGCTTTTACCTAACTCTCTCTCGGGTTACTCACTCCGGGGAAGCCAGCTGCCATGCTGGGACAGTACTCAAACAACCCAGTAGGGAGAAGGGTCTTGATAGTGAGGAAGTGAGTCTTCCGCCAACAGGCAGCACTCACTTGCTAGCCCTGTGAGGGAACCATCTTAGAAACAGAACTCCCAGCCCATTAAGCCTTCAGATGACTGCACTCCAGATAACATTTGGGAAACTCGGCCAGAAACACTCATATTCCTGATCCATTGAAACTGCATGTGGTAACATGTTAATTGTTGTTTTAGCTGCTACATTTTGGGTAATTTGTTATGTGAACAAAAAAACCCAATATACCTCGTCAAGAGTTTTCCTCTAGAAAAATAGAAGTCTTAGCCATTTGGCTTTGAGCAGTTCACTTCTTCAGGCAAAATCATTCCCATGCTGAGATCTACTCATGAAGCTAACCTGTTGCCACTAAACATTCACCTCAGACTCCCTCATCCTGATTATCCACTTGTCAAACAACTTTTGGACTATGATTAAGCTCCCGGTATCTTTAGGGAAAGAATGAACTGACCATACAGATTTGAGGTATTTCTAGATTCTATGATGATGATTTTTCAGGGCGATTTAATGGTTTCTGATTGTGATTTGGTTTCCTGTGGAGGTCGCCTTCCTGTGCTCAGTATATGGA